GCCCTGAATGGTACTAGTTGGATTATTACTTTTTTTTACGTTGTTGAGAATACCACTTCACCATTTTGATAATTTTAGTCCAAAGGAACTTTTTCTAATTAGCTTCCAATTTCCGAACTGTTTATATTTTTGTACCCAAATTAAAATTTTGGGGATGAAATATAAATATGTATAACCATTTTATGCTTAAATATTTATTATATATTATTATCATCTTAGTATAAACCCACTTATTTTTAACTAGTTACCAAACTGGGCCGAATGGTACTAGTGATGCTACTACTATTTTTAGAGAGGTTGGAAATGCCACTTCAGCATTTTGATTATTGTAGTGCAAACCAGTTTTTTTTTTACTAGTTTCCACATTGGTTCGTGCTAGTTGCAATATTCATATTTTGTACTCTCTATATTTTTGCGAAAAATATTAATAAAATTCGTTCATGCTTAAATATTTACTTATCACATTGTCGACTGGTTATTGAGTTATTTCCTTCATCTGGCTTCACAAATCTGACTTTCAACTAGTAATTTTCCCTGTGGCTTTTTCCACTACCGACTTCTACGACACCAACAAGTTTTCTCTTACTGCATTGTTATTTAATACCTTTCGTCCTTATGAATTTTATTTTGATAACGTAAATAAGCAAATTTGTATATTCCTATATATGCATGCATGCCAGGGTGCCGCACCAAAAAAAGCGGTTTTTCCAATGGAATTAGATGCCATTTTATTGTAAGATTTTTCGGTAAAATGATTCGGAAAAACATTGAGCTTCACTTGAGTTGTTCCGATGTGAAAATACCTCTAAAAAATTTCATTAGTTTGATTTCTTTGATAAAATTTTTAAAAATTTTTATGCGGATCCTTCTAAGCGAAAACTCTTCTACCATCTGCCTTGATTTTTTGGTAAATATATTTCTTAAAAGTAATTTTATTTATAAAAAAAGTCGATCTCTGTGGAGGTACATATTTTTAAATCAACGCAGCTGACGTAAATCTAAATACTTGTCAGAAATATTTTTGGGAAAATCTCAAAATGTGGATTTAATAATTCCGATGGAAAAATTGCACAGATTTTTATTTTTTTTTTTGTGGAGAGTGATGCACCCTAATATGCACGAGTGGCACATGTATAGGTAAATATGCTTGCTTGTTTGCTCCTGCAGCATGTTGCAATAGTCTATTTATGCATTTCTAATGTTGCCCATGTAATTTTAAAATCTTTTTCTCTGCCATTTGGTGTCTATTTATTTAGCTACATCATTTTACTTCTTCAATTTCTTTATTCTATTTATTTTTTATATTGTCTTCTTAATTTTTTGCATTTCTCTGATATCTTGCCACGTTTATATTTATTTTGTTTTCATATGTATGTATTTACTTACTTTTTCAAATACCTACAGTATCCCTGCAAAAAATGGGACTAATCCGGGATGACTCCGGGAGCAATCGCAAAGGAGCATGCTACTAATACCACTTTTGATCTCTTTATATGGAATGAACTGATCGCTTTTGTTCGAGCATGTCCTATAAAGAGACTAATTGTTCACCTTTATACCCGAACGGGTATAAAAAGCGACTAGTCACTTTTAAAAAATAAAAATAAAAATTTGCGCCAGCTGAGATTCGAACCGGGGTTCTCAGTTTTGTTAAGCGAATACTCTCTCTATGTGCCAGCGCCGCACATGAAATTTCATTAACAAAGTGCGTACATATCATTAAATCGTTAATAGTACCCGTTAGAGATGAGTCGGGGACTAATTGATCTCCAAATATACCCGTGATGGATGAATCGAGACTAAATGATCCACAATAGTACCCGTATGAGACTAGTTGCGACTAATTTATGCCCAATTGTACCTGATTGAGAGTAATCTCGGAATACTCTCTTTAGAGATTAGTCGCACAATTTTTTGCAGGGATTTTACAGTATTGTTTTTACATAGCTCGTATTTGTACTGTTTGTTTGCCTGGCATTTCCATGTCAATAAACGTAGACGTGTACTACATATATGTGTAGCCACTCGAAATGGCTTTCGGTTTGAAGTGCTTCTAGAAAAAATGCAATAGTATTTGCCACTTCCCCTTTGGCAAAAACCTTTCCCTTCTTCGTTCCATCAAAATTTTGTGGAAAACTATTTCTCACTTCGCTTTATTTCCAGCTGGCGACAGCCCTGGGCTCCCAACGTCCTTCAGAACTTCTTCGTAAGGGATCCTGGTACCACAAAGAGAGACTCCGGCTTTCAGCAATTGTTTAGTCATCTCGGTATCGCATTTGTATGATTATTTGGAAAGTGCAAATAATACGAAGAATGTGTTTCAATAGTGGGTCATTCATACCTATGTACATATGTACACATGTATATCATATTCAACCATCACTGCAGGCAATTCTATAATTTAATTTAAGAGCTATTAAAATCCGTGTACATACTAACTAGTGCAAGCTTTTACTTTTCCTCGTGAATATACGAGTACATAAATATACATACATTTGTGCTTTTAAATATGTATTCGCTATAAGTGAGTCATTGACCGCTGTGAGTATATTGTATATGACTAGGAATAAATAAGCATCAACAAACGATTGCACATAAAAAAACTTGAATGGAAATACGACACTCGAATTCATTTTAGTTGTGATAAATTGTCTAATGTTAGACACATGTACATAAGTATGTATGTATATGTATATTTTAGTTAGCTTGAACGTGAGCTACTAGCCCTTAAGAGGATTTGAATGATGCAAAGGGAAATATGAGAAAATAGTGTATATAGTACATAGTAAATGCGATTTATTTAATATATCTACAACCGGCGACAAAAGATAGTACAACACTATTTTGACCAGCTTGTTTTTTTTTAATGTTTTTAATAAAAAATAAGGCTATTTATCTATCAATTCAAATTTCAAACTTGCTACAAAAATTTGAAAAATATTTTATCCGAACTACAAGCATTTGAATGGAATTTCTAGTTTTTACAAAATTTTGGAAAATTCGACAAATTTTCACCAAAATTTTCAACTTTTAATAAAACGCTCTTCGATATTTTTTCCCATACAAAAAAAAAAAAACGCGCATCCGCTCATCGCTCAAAACTCAACGGTAGTTCATAGCCACTTAAAAATTGTACTTTATTATACTAAAATTGAGTGAGCTACAAAATTGCACACTCGAAAAAAAATTCTAAAAAATTTTGTTTAAAAGTTGAAAATTTCTCGAATTTTCCTAAATTTTGTAAAAACTTTGAATTATTAATTTATACCCCACAACGAATCACCTGGTAAAATATTGTAGCTGCAATTCCTATATTACAAGGCATCTTTCGCTTGGAGCGAAATTATCGTACATGCCATACAAAAGTATATTGAACGTAGGTAGTAAAAAATTAAAATAATTCCAAAAATCTCGGAAATTAGAAAAAAACGCTTTCCTGTAAAATTTGGTTTCAGGCACATACGATAATTTTGCGCAAAGGGGTCGGTATGTGTCATATAAAAGTATTTTGTACGTAGTAAAAAAAAAAAAGTAGATACAATAAATTCAAAAGATTTTGAAAAGTAGAAGAAACAATTTCCTGTAAAATTTGATTTTTTGCACATACGATAATTTTGATATGGTTTCTATCTATGTTATCGTTTTGTCGCGGGCTGTACTTAAAAAGGAAGAAATCTGAGAAATGTTATATTGAGAAAATCTGTAAAATATTGGAAAATTGGTTTGCAAAACGTAGGAGATGAATAATAAAAGTACCTACTTTTACTTATAAATTGGTTTCTTTTATTTCTAAATTGGTGAGAGAATAAAAAAAATCGGCAAATTACTTACTCAAACGTATTGCAACCTACGTTGCCAATTCTATTACTGTCTAGGAATTTCAACAATACCCCTATATACTCCTAATACCACCACTGAATATTAGTTAAGTTATAGACATTAAAGTTGGAGAATTTTCCAGACATTAAAGTAGCCGAATATATATATATGCTTCAAATAAAGTCTGTTTTTTAATATGTAAAATTTATCAGATTTCAATTAAAATTGTTTTCGAATTTTCACGATTTTAAAAAACAATTTAAATTTTTTCAAAATTCATAAAAAATTTAGAGGTTAATATTTTAAGAACTACCCTATCCTAAAACCTCGCTGCCGATCAGCGACGAACAAACAGAACTTTCACTTTCTGTGCGTTCATATAAAATTTACAAACACGCCGGTTTTGAACAGAAACTCCCTGGGAGTTTTCTATCTTTTCCCCTTCCTCCTATCATGAACAAAGATTCCCTGAGAATTTTTTATATGAAATAGCGGAGTTGGGCTGTCAAAAAATTGTAAAATAGCTGTTGCGAAGTTCGAATTTTATCCTCACAAATTTTCGAGGAAAATGCTACTCCCTGGGAGTTAATTATTGGAGGATTTCTTTCTCGAGGGAAACGAATTTCCAAAGGACAAACTCCCTGCGAATATTCGGAATTGGGCTGAAAAAGTTTTAAAAAGCTTCTCCCTTGGGATACCCAGTTTTCATGTACAGATGGCGCTGTAATATCAGTAGTTGAAAATTTCTTTCTAAAAAAGCATTTCTTATCATAGTATTAGCCTTTTCAAGACAAAAATTCAACTCCACTTTATTCTCTTTACTAAAGAAGGTAGTAAAGTTAGTGGATCAATGTTATTAAAATTTTGCACAGGCCAGAACATTAAAATATTTTAGAATATTGAATTCAAAATTGAACTCTGTGTTGAACGGAACACAAAAAATGGGTACAAATTTCATATACAGATGGCGCTGTGATTTACTTAAGCTTTATTGCAACCCAAAGCAGCTAATGAAAGCTTCCACTAAAGCTTTTTTCTAGAAAATGTGGCCTTAGCACATCTGCCCCTTTTTGTTCGAGAGAAATATTTAATTAATTAAAAAACACAATTTTTTCTTTAATTTCTATATTTACATACATATATGTCCCGTTTTAGAAAAACTTACCTTGAGATCTCCTTACTGCCTTCAAAACTATTGTACAACTTTAGTTGATTCACTTATTTGTCTCAACTCCTTTAGAGTGTGTACTTGCTTGTTCTTATTTTATGCAAAAATGTTTCAACACTATTTAAAAAGTATGCTATGTAGACGCTTGGGAATTGGAAAACAACGAATTTCTTTTAACAGTTCTAAATTTCACAAGATTTTATTTATTTATGTATGTACGTACTCCCGAAAATGTACTTCTTTAAAATTTTTTTTGTTAGTCACTTACTTTGATTCGTTTTGTTAGCTATTTTTTATGTTTTACCAAATTAATGTTAGTCACTATTTTATTTGAATTTAAGCTGCTTATTGCTGCTATTCCGCTCAAACGTTTTCACGAGTTTTTCTTTTTTATTTTCCACGCAATTTAATTAAGCGCATAAATCTGCAATAGAAAACAGAGGACGCTAGGTATACCTATCTATGCAGTGGTTGAAGAGAGTGTGGCAGTCATTCCTTTGTTTTTATTGTTTTTGAAGGGCACCGAAACCAGCGAGGCACTCGTACATATGTATGTATGCAGCTTTGTTTGTAGCAGGTATTAAATAAAAGGTGTGCGACACCTATAAAATTCACTGAAAATGAGAAAATGAGTTGACATAAATTAAAGCAACAAATTAAAGTAATTAAAAGTGATGTAGGGGAAAGCGTTGCAAAGGGGAGCACTAAAGGTATTCCGACGCTATGCTCAAGGCTGCCGTCGGCAACATTGCCACCAGTCATCGTCATCAGCGTCACACCTCACTGAAGCCCTTCACCAATTTTATTTCAATTTTTATGTGCTACTGTGTCGCTGCAAATTCATCACTTGACACGCGTCGCTCCAGGGAAAGGGCAGAGGGAGATATGCGCTTTCCAAAAGCAGGATTGTAGCTTTGCATGTTCCTCGACGAGTCATTTTTTTTTGCTGTTACCGCGCAGTAGTTGAATTTAATGAGATCTCCCCACTACTTTGGCTATTTTTAGTGTGCAAGCGACGACGATTGCATACTTTAGGGCGCGCTGCACGTCGTCGTCTAGCTCGAATGTATGTATGCATGAATGTATCTACAAAGTGCCATTGAATTTATGTGCACTTGGAATTTGAATGTATACAAAATTATGAAGCGATAAATTTATAAATAACTGAGCGGCTAGTGAGTGAGGCAAAAGATACAAAGCGAAGAGAGATGAGAGGAATTTTAAGAAGAGAAAATTCTTTTTTTTGAGCGTTGCAGTGCCGATATATTGGAGAAGTAATCTTAATGTACGTATACAAATGGAGTCACTTATACGGCAAAAAGGTATTAATAAAATGCCAACTATAATAATTCGGGGGCTCAAAGGTATTTGTTACTTTCACTTTTTCAAAGTGTAACTGGAGCAATTTCAAGCACCAAATAATGTGAATAAAGTGTTCGAAACATTCTTCGTAGCTAACTAGAAATTTTGTTAAACCTAAGGCACCCGCAAAATGAGCTCGGGAATCAATCTCGTTTTATTTTACATTAACCTAAATAACCTAAATTAATAGAAAATAAAGAAAAGGCTGACTAATTCATATGCCGCTCGAGAAGTGCAAGAATTCACGAAAAATATCACTCTTACTTCAGCTTCTAAGGTTGCATACTTTTAGGCACATTTGCAGAGAAAGGTTACTATTTCGAATGGGGAAAGCATAATTTGCCACAAAAAAAAAGAGATTTTAAAACTAATACCACGCGAATTATCACTATAAAAGCATGTTCTGTATAAATAAACCTTACTTCAGCATTTACAGCCATTACATTAATATTTGTAAAACGATTTTCTTAGGTTTAAGGATTTTAAAGATATTTTTTTGGCGTGTGCAAATAAAATGCCTTTTCAGACACCTCCAGAACTGAAGAATTTCGAAAATAAAGAAATATTTATTTTTAAAATACATGACAAACTTCAAAGTCCCGGCGGGTTTTTTCTTATTTTTTATAATTCTGGGGGTAACAGCAGGAAAATTCCAAAAATTGACTTCCCTGTCTATTTTTGCACCACCTTCAAGTTCACCCATAAGACCTTGTACGTATTTACGTAAGTTTTCGTCATGAAATTAATGAACCTACTTAGTTCTCAAAAACAATATTTTTCCAAAAGGAGGTTTAGTAAACAAGTTTTTTTTTTTAAGTTCCCAGATCATTTTCCAGTGTGTCATGTTTATGTATTTATACCAGCTGTTTAAAGATATCAAAAAGTTATGAAAATTAACAGGTTTTAAATTTTTAATTTCTTTACAGATTTTTGATCAAATTGATACTAAATTTCATTCAAAAAATATTTTAAATTTAAAATTTTTCTTTTTAGAGGCATGCAGCAACCACATAGTTTTAATTTATTTTAGGTCCTAAATAATCAACATCGGCTGCAACATTTGTTGGGAAAAATATGGATTCTTCGTTTCCTATTTAATCTAAAAATTAGCACCTTTGCAGCAACTTCAATGATAACCTACACATCGACAACTAAAAAAAAATATTAAGTATTTGCAACTAAACAACCACACATGCACACAAACACACATATGTGCTAAAAGAAAATTAGCAAAAAAAAAAACTAGAAAAAAAGTACAGAAAGAAAACTCACTTAACTAAAACTTAATTGAGTGTTGCGCCACATTAGCAGCAGTCGTCGCTGTGGCCGTAGTCGCTATTGCAGCTGTTGTATTTCGTTGTACAACAACAACAACTTGCAATTAGCCAAAATTACAGTCAATAAAGACAAATGCACTGCAATTAGGTAAAAGCTATGGTTGTGAATTAAATAAGGTTTTTTGTTATGGTTGTTGTCTTTTTGCTTTCTGCTTTTCCGCTAAACATCTACAGTTTAGTAAGCTTATAAACCCTTTAGAAAAATAAATAAATTGTTAAAAATATGCATATGCTCATATTTTTTTTCTAGACAAAATGATGAAACTTTAATTAAAAATAGGAAAAATTACTAAAAAAGGAAATGAAATGGCGATCGCACTTTATATGTTTCTAAATAAGGAAGTCTTTTTGCTTAGAAAAGTACCAAGGCAATTTAGCCTTGGAACTTTTCTGAAAGGAAAGGTCTTAAAAAAAATAATTGTTAATGCTTTTTTAATATAACAATTCCAAATTCCAAGCCTTTAAATGATAAATATTTTTTTTTTATTTAATAGTTACTTTTTTGTACAAAAATTTCGAGGTATACGTTTTTTAATATTTTCTTTGCAAAATTTTTATGCAAAAAATTTTCAATTAAAATTTTCAAAAAAAATATTTGTTAGATTAAAAATTTGAAAAGCGATATTTTTTTATGCTTGAAAATTTCAAAAGTAATTTGAATAATTTTTTCATTTGAAATTTATTCATAAATGTACAAATTCTCAAAAACACTGATTTTTAAGACAAACAATAAAAAACATCTTTAATTGTCTCTACTGAAATATATGAAATTTTGAGTTGTGTCGTTATTGCAGAAGACCATGGATATGTACTTTTGAAAAATTTCTTAAAGTTTATTCAACTTGTATAGGATAATTTTCAGAAACAAGGTTTTTGGAGTTAAATAATTCCGTAATAGACCTCGTAAATATTTAAAAAGCATATTAAAAAAAAATCTAAAATTTCTCAAGAAGTATTTTTTAAGGTACTTTTTAAAATACTGCTAAAGTATTTGTTTAAAGATACTTTTTAAAAACAATTCTTAAATATTTGCTTAGATAATTTAGAACATTAAAAAAAGTGGTTTGTAGTTAAATAAGTACGCTTATCTTACTTTGACTCCGGAAATGGATTTGATTTAGATCATAACTTCTGATCAATTTAAGAAATAAAATAAAATAAAAGCGTTGTAATAAAATAAAAGGCAAATATAAAATATTTAAAACAACAAAGTTTTCTTTTTAGCGTTTTTTACCAAATTTAATGAGAAAATTTTGTTTTAAAATTTTAAATGTTTATTCCTTTATCATCCGGAACTTTGAAGGATATTAAATTTGAACTTTTTTATTCAAAGTTTAAGTAAAATTTACAAAAAAAATACTTTAACACTTTAATTTTAAACAGATTTTTAGTGTGAACAATTTTTAAATTTTTTTGTTTTAAAATTTTCTTGCGAATGAATGTATTTGTAAAAACAAACGCACATTTTTCGACTTTTTCTGAAATTTATTTTTAAAAGATGGGTTTATCTGTACAAAATTTAGTTTTTTAAATATGATTTTGGAATTATTTGAACAAGCTTAAAAGTTCAAACTTTTTGAAAATATTTTTACTGCAATTTGTTTTTAATATTCTTATCAATATTTATTTGTTTAATTTCTCAAGTTCCAAAAAGGTTGTTCTGAAACTTGGACTATAGGTACATCGTAAAGGTTTTTTATTGAAAATATTAAAATATTCAAGCTGAAATTTGTAGTTAAATAATGAAAATCTGAATTATACGCATCTTTACGTAATTTCTACGACTTTTATAAAATTTTTCTCAAAATTGTTCTATTAAGTGTTTTTGAACTTTTTTTAAGCTATTTTTAGTCACTAAACTTTTACAGAGAAACGGGCACAATTTGAAATATATAAATACAATGCCGCTAAATATTTGAATTCTTAAAAAGATTTTGATTTGGACTTTTGGATTATGACTTTTGGAAAGAAAATCCTGAAACTAATTTTAAAAAGATGGGTTCGCCAATACAAATTTTTGTTTTTAAACACAGTTTTTTAATTTCTTGAAGAATTTGAAAAATTCAAAGTTTTTGAAAATTACTATAGTTTTTTTATTCTTCTTCTTTCTTGGCGCTAGTAGTTGCTCTTCAGTGCCAACTGAATATTTTTAGTGCAATCTTTTTTTAATACTCCCAGCAAAAATTTTAGGTTTTTATTGTGTAAAAAAAATATAGTTTGCAAAGTAACTTTTTGAGCTTTATATTATTTGTAAAATTTTTTTTATGTTTTATCCATTTATCAAAACCAAATTTTGTTATGAGAAAGTGCAGCATTAAAAAGTTAATAGTTTAGATTCTTAAAAGTTTTCTATATACAAGTTTAATTAATTTGATTTTTAAAAAATTTTCATTTTTTTCAACAAACTGTTACAAGTAGTGTGAAAATATTCGTGCTGCTATTTTTAATGCTTAAAACGTTTTCATTCACGTTTTTTTTTATAAAATTCTTTTGCGACTATTCCAAAAAAAAAAAAAAACAATTTTTTTTTATATTTTTCTCGACAATTATTGTACTTTATGGTACTTATGCAGACTAGTTTTGGTCACAGGCAAATAACTTTTCATCCACAACCTTCTTAATCCAAAATAAAATTTTTTCGATGTAGAAGAAAATGTATACCTAGAGTTTCATTCAAAATTATTATTTTTTAATTGTTATTATCTAATTTTGCTTCTTTTAACTAAATAGTATTATTTAAAATGTATTTTTTTTTTAGACATTCTTTGATGATAATTAAAAAGTACACATTTTTTCTGTTGAAATTAAAAAAAAAATTCATGGATTTTCATATATTAAAGAGCTTTACCAAGTGAAATTTTTATACAGTTTTTCGATTTTAAATAATTTTTTTATGAATTTGGTTGTTAGTGTATAAGTGACTATTATTTCTACCAAATATTTTTTTTTAAAACGTTGCATTTTTGATTACTTAATTTTGTGGAAAAAGACTATTTGGAATTCTTTAGTTTAAAAGGTATTTGCAAAATTTGGTCAATTTTCCATGTCTTTTTAACATACATTTTTTTATTTTTCATCAAACTAAACCATCAAAACTATCTATGTATATATGACTTCAATTCTAGTAAAAAATAATTTAACTGTTAACACACAGAAACTTAAGAAAAAAATTTAAAAAATTAAACTTTGCTTTTCTGTTTGAAACGAGCAAAGAATAACAACCTTCACTTTCTCTTCAACACTCTCGGACGCGCTGCCAGCACTCAAGTGATGAGTTTGACTTCAAAAAATTCTTCGCTTTTAACTTTGAACAATTACGAGTATTTTTCAAAATCACTTTCTTACTTTTCGCTTTCTCTAATTTCACATGAACACTTCAACAATGCTTGGACACAAAATTATTTGTATTACCAACTAAGTTTTCGCTCAGTATTTCCGTAAAACGATTTAACACTTTTTTTGAGAGATAAATTTTTCCTGTTCAACCTGGCGAAACGCGACCACGCGACAGTCAGTATGCGGGGAGAGAGGCGTATAGAAAGAAACTAAACGCAGACAGCGACGCACAAACACTGAACGCGATGGCGAAGCGCGTACGCGAGTTGTAAGCAAAGAGCTTGGCTTAAAGTCGGACTCCAAACAATGGGCCAACACCACAAGTAACAATGGCAAAAGCAGAATTTACCGTTTCCGTTGGCGAGTGGCGTTGGAAAATGTATGCCTGGACTTTCGTAGGAAATGGCGTTTCCGACACTTTAAATATTGTTTGAATATTTTCGCAAAGCGGCAGCGGAAATAGGAAAGCGGCTGTAAAGCAGCGACAGTCTAGAGCAAGCAATTTGGGTAGGTCGGTGTGGTGATTTGCCTATCAGCGTGTGGGTTTATGGTTGACCCTCACACAGACGCGCGCTTGTTTATTTGTTTACTTGCGTAATTTTCGCTAATGAGCTTGCCGCTTTTCACCTCTTTCGCAAAGCGTTTGCACAAATATCGGCGCTGCAGCAAAGAGCGTTTGACTAGATAAGGCAGCTTCGCTAATTTGTTTGACACGCGTTGGAAAACTAAGCGGCGCTACTACGGCAAACGGGCTTTTTTGAACTAACTGACCGGTTGGCTGGGCAATTGATTGACACAGCTGACCGCTTTATGATCAAATTTAACAGCTGATCTAGAATTATTTGCAGCGCGTTTAGTCACTCGGCACATAAAATTTGTTTAATTGAAGCGCTGATATTTTTCAAAATAAGCGCGCGAATTTTTATACTCTCGAAAATTTTGTTTTAATGGCAATTTTCAGAAGCTGCGTTTTTGCTTGACTACTACTCTTCAAACTTTGCTTGGCTATTTGTTAGTGTTGGTTAGTTATTAGCGGGCAAAAGAATAAGAACGCGACCGCTCGTACACGTTGTCGCTTATAGACTGAAGCGCTTGCAAGCGGCTGTTGGCTAAAAAACATGGCCAGAATGGCAAGAACGCAACGTTGCAACTATTTTGTTGTGGCGCTGCTGCTGGCCGCTGCTGCAACATGCCGATTGGGTGGCATACTCAAGGCGCGCTTGTGCATGTGCGTGTGTGTGTGTGTGCAGCGGCCAAAGCAAGAATAGCAGAAATTACAAATAGGAACAGCAAAATTAGTAAGCAGTAGAAAATGTGGTATGAGCTAAAAAACCAGCAACAATAATATGTTACGCACTCGGCGCGCTAGAATAGTTGCATACGATTGCAGCAAGGGGCGCACAGCCATTCCAAGCCAGTGCAATTTGACCCCGAAGCGGCGCTCGTCACTCTGCGCTGCACGCTGCAATCAAAACGACATTGCAATGCTGCAAGTATCTTTACTCTCGGCAAATCTCAGCATAGCAAAAGTTGAGCGCGCGCGCTTCCAATCGTAGAGCCAAGCGCGCGTTGCACTGCAAGCTGCATTAAGCGCTGCCGCGCGGCAGTCAACTTGAATGCGCGGCTGCTAGCCTCGCAGCAAGTCAGCGCGTGTTACACTGCTCGTGCATGGCTGCAGTGCCCCAAGGCAGCGTCGGTCATGGCGTCGCGCTGTCGCCAAAGAGGTACCGCAGCGCGCGCTAACGCTGCACCGATGTTGGAGCGTGAATTGGTATTCGCAACTTCGTTATCATCACCGTACTGCGCTCGGTAGTTGCAAATTGCTCATCTGTTGTACGAATTAGAGCAAAATAGTTTCTGCCGAGCATTTCGAATGGCGAGAACTTTAGTACTCTAATAACGTGACGATGAGCTTGAAAATTAAATACTCCACAGCGACATGCCGTCGCTCAGTGACAGCTCTCAGCTGCCATTTTTTTTCTTACTATTTTCCATTTCAATCTCTGTTAAGCTCATAAACGAAGTATTGGCCTACCGACTGCTCACGAACGACTCGACCACTTTGACACCACACTTCAGGCGCCAAACAGGAAGTATTGCATTGCATGTAGCGCTGTGTATTTGAGTGTATGTGTGTGTGTGTGAATTGCGGAAGTCCAAGTGCTGCCACTCAGAATGCTACATTAAATTAATTAAGTTAGTTAATCTTGCTTACTCACCACATTTGTCAGCGAGCGGCGGTGCTAAGTCAAAGAATGCCTACTAACAAGGCGGTGCAGCCACTCATCTCGGTGAGTCGGTGAGAGCTTAGGAATACTTTGAGTATTACGGAGAAGAGAAATATGAAATGTTCAGCTACAGCAGTAACTCGTTATGAGGAGGGTATAACAGTAGATGAAAATTAAGTTTAAAATTTCGGTAGTTTATTTTAAATAAGCCGAAGGCCTGGACAGAAATTTTTCACGTTTTTAATATTATAACAACTTGATTTTACAGCTATTGTTCCTAACTGTGCCTCGAGACCTTGTAAGAAAAAAGAGCCGCCCCACAGTTCCGCTTATCCCCGAATATGAGCAATCGCAGCATCATTCGCGCGGTCTCTGCTGGGCAAAATCGCTTGTCAACCTTAAGGACTTTTCGTTTCAACCAATGCCGGTTGCTGTTTCGGGCCAGGTCCAAAATCATGGACAAGCGTTATTTGTAACAAAGGCGGTTAAGCAGTTGAAAAAGCTACTCATCAAAATCATTTTCTATTCGAAGGCAACATAAAAGCGCCAAACAAAATTTATTTCCATTTACTTGTAATGCCTCTTTCATCATGCATCATATGCATTTGCATTCCCTAACTATCCACGCTTTACTTTCTTTAATATTTGAATTTAACGTTGACTGCTAACAGACAGCAATAAAAGCGACACCTATGATTCCTTAACGAAGATTACTCGCTAGTTCATGTTTTCGCCCAATTTCTCGTTGGTAATGTAAACGGCTCCTAACAGAGTTTCGCTCTTTATGCCAACTCTTAGACTTTTTAATGAGAGAAATAATGTACAGATCCAATTAAAATGTAAATTCACCAACAGGGAATAGAAACCGTTCTAACGGTACAGGAGGTACAGTGGCATCATACAAAACGCTTTGTAATGTCCTTTTAAACATTCGCATTTTTTAATCGGCCATAAAAAACTCATGAAATTCATTTTCATTAGGCTCACTTCCGAAATTACAGACATAGTTTGGAATTCTAATAAAAAAAAAATATTTTTTTTATTTTTTCATCGGTGGATTAGTTTACGTTGGTTGCCACATCTCACAGTCCGGCAGAGAGGTAACTTAGGCCAGTTAGGCCCACTGTGTGTCACACTTGTTTCGTTCCCTCAGTTTCCCGTCTGATAGAACCCCCGTGTTTCCTTAACGAAGCGGATCTCCACAGAGTCGAGATCAGTTAAAAATAAGTAGTACATCGCATTCTTGCCAGAGCGGGGCAATGGCAGATATAGCGCTCTACACTCTCCACCTACTTGTCATCGTCCCTACAGCTAATACGAAAATCGCCAAACGGCTAGCGAGAGTAGTGGCACTATTGAATCATAGAGCGGCCACCTTTTGTCCCATGGATCTAAGTCCGAGCGCTCTATCCAGTCGCTTCTTTCTGCAATTCGAATATAAAACCTATTATCGAAGCAGAATATTGGGCTGGGGTAATCCGGGTCCCTCCATGTGTGAACTACATTCAATCTGGTTGCGTCTGAGCTGATATCTATCGTAAAGCTCGGTAGGCAGATGGTATAGTTTCTAGAGCCTTACTAGGGGTAGAGACTCCCGTAATTAACATGGAAACAGCCTTCTGTAATATATTCAGTTTACTCCTATATGTGGCATTTTCTAGACCCACCATTAAGGCTGAAAAGGCGCTATCTTATATCTTCTCGTAAACAGTACCATTTCAGTTTTGGTGGAATTGACCTTGACTTTCTCGCTTTTCGCATAAACCACTGCTGGGTTCAGTAACTAGTTTCTGCAAATTTTTGTTTATAAAATTGCAATGAGCATACCCACTGAATTTCAAAACAAATTCCACCTAACATTGTTGTTTATTCATACTTTGTAAAGCATCATTAAATACCCACCACCAATTTTGACTCTTCACTGTTAATAATATCTGTTGGCGCTTCTGGAATATTTTTCGAACTAAGAGAAATGTAAATCTCTGAAATTTTGTATGTTAACTCAAGCCGCTGGTTTTTCACTCATCTCTTTGTATTTCGAGCGCAGGCCCGCAAACCACTCAAGCCAAGTGTTCCCACTTGCTTACAGTGGCGGTGTGGCAAAAATAACACTTCTAATTTTGGATTGGCTTCTAGATTTTGTATGAGCGTAAGTAAAATGATTGCAGAATGAGGTTCTACGTGTTAGGAAAGGGAAATAAAATACTCAAAAAGTTTATCAGTTTGGTTCAAGCCCAATGCAATTGTATCAAAAAGTGGTCACACATAGTTACAAGTTTACAATGCACATATGTAAGCTTATGTAGATAAACAAAAGAAAACTCACCTCGTGGATTTAAGAAGATTGACCTCTTAATTCGCAACACGAATCCAAAAACCCTTAACTGCAAAAAAGAGAAATCTATGTTAATTTAAGGCGTAAAAAGATATTTAAAAATCAATTACAAAATATATATATTTACAAAAAAATGTATAATCTCTAACAAAAACCGATATTTGTGGCAAAAAATTGATTTGAACTGATTTCAAAGCTACGTATGGAGATCTCAATAAATTCCCTCTGATACATATGTAGTTTCCTATGGTCAGCGGCTTCTATGGGTGAATTATAGTAGGAGGTAAATAGTTTTAAGCGGGGTTCCTTTACATACATAAAAAAATTTCAAGGTATTGACCAACTGAATTTCTTAAAGTCCCAGAGTTCCACCTCCGCATTCTCAACCGGACTGGTTATTAACCCTAACCCCCAGCGCTGTAGTCGCTACGTCTATAGGCCCGCAAATCGACAGAATGTGGTAAATCGTCGCCATCGTCAAAGAAACGGTGTAACAGCGCAGTGTCCTGTGATGAGGCGGTGAAATTTCTTACTGCTGGTCTCTTCAGCTTCCAAATTTTGCTAATAAAGCATAGCCCTTACAACCAACTCACTCTTAATGTCGTCTAAGCGTCGTAGCTGGCAACATCGTAAGCTGTCTCCATTTTCTAGTTATTTCTGTGTCTGGCAACTCAGCAAAGACTGGCGTTGAGATACCAGTGATGTTAATGACGCACGACATTTCCGAACAATAACCGTTTCCAGAATTGACCTTAGTAACGGTTACAAAGGCTTTTAAGTCTTTCTGCAATAGAAATATTACCACCAAGCCTCTCAAGGAATGTTTTCTAGTTTTCGACTCATATAAAAGGATAACATTGCACTGGGTCTCAGGCCATTGAGTTCAGACTTTATGTGAACTTAGTTGGTCTCCTTCGGGACATATGGTTGCTATGTCGATAAACTGAGAACGTACTAAGTACTGAGTTGTGATAGGGGAGCTTGCGACGGCAGAATTTTTTGCATATTCATTAGAGCAACACTAACAGTTCTATTCTGCGCTGGTAATAAAATTTTTTTAACTGGTAAAGTTTCTGTCAATTTTTAAACTCATAAGCTGTTAACAAAATATTGCCCGTGAAGTATGTATGTCAGGCCAGAATTTCTACAAGCTTCCACAGCTGAATTGCTGAATATTTCAACTGCATTACCAACGCACCTAGAATCGCGGTGACAAGAACTGGTAACATTTTTGGTAGTACAATTTTCCGGTTACAAAATCTTCGGTAACTTGCAGAATAGACCTGTAAGTTTGTCGGCCTTATAGGGAGGACGAGTAGCTCTCAGGCTAGATGCTCTCTGATTATTTCACTTCAGTCTAAAGATTCCTATGAATATTTATAAAGCATGTGGCTACCAGCAAGTGTTTGTATATTTATGATGGGATCGGTTTTGGGTTATCCTGTTTTACTTGTAGCATTACTTCTGCCAATCTTTTGGTACACCTGCGTTGGTGTCTAGCAACCTTTTTTCTTCGCTGCATTCAACTATGATTTTTC